CGCTCGGAATGCATGAGAGCTGCATTCAAAACCCGAAATTAAACAAACTGATGGTCCCCTACTTGATACTCGCCGATTCACATTTGAAGTGAATGTCCCTCATCACCACCTCTCATGCATTCCGAGCGACATATTACGCGAAAACGGTTTTTTATTTGTCTCTTTTATGGATATTGCCATACCATAAAATGGTATTTACCATTACGTAAAACTTTTCATATAAAAAGTATTTGACAAGACGAGGGTATTTGTTTAAAAACGAGCCCTCTACCACTTATGGTTACACGGCAAATGTATGCCAACTTTGACCTTCAATATCTCGGAAACCAGTAAGCCGAATGTATCTTTTTGTTTTTTAAAAGAAGCTTCTTTTAACGTTTTTTAAATGTATACATTTTGAAATTGATATGTTTAAAGCTCGTAAAGTTATTTAATTTGTTAAGAAGCCTAAAAAATGTTTATAACTTTAAAAAAATTTATAGGGTCTCCTAGTAAATCGATTTAAATTTTACAAAAAGCGTTTGAAAGTTTAAGACTTCCTTTATACGTAAAAAAAATTGCAACTATCTGAGGGCCTTATTTAGGGCCTACTATGAATTTGAAAATTTGCGATTTTTTTCCAAGAGGCTGGATTGCAAAATTATTATGCAAAACCTATCTGACCGATCTTAACAAAATTTAGCACACGTTTTAAACATATTAAAAAGTTTTTCTAGGCGGAATATGGAACTTGTAAGTCAAGTTTAGAAAGTCGAAAACATTTAAAGGATTAACTTCATTTGTTTGTACTTTTTTTTTCAATTATTGCTATTTTTTTAACAATAACCATTAAATTTTCAATTTCTAGCTAACAAAATATTGTGTAAAATTTAATAACGAAACTTTTAACCACTTATAATTTTTTCTCTAAGATTAATATTTTTCGAATTGTAAATGAAAATAGGAGCAAACAATGAGAAATTTTCAATTGTTTTCAGATTTTGTTAAATAAAAAATTTTATTACTGGGCATATCCTGAAGGGATTCCAGCAAAAAAATAGCTTCCCTCGAAAATTTCCATTATGGTCTGAATTTCTACAGATGATGCCTAGTCTATAAGAAATAAACCGGGTGTACGTAAGCAAAACAAAAGTCGACGGACGGAATTGCATATCCCTTGCGTTGTTATGTATGTATTACTAAATGGTTTTCTCGTTTTCTGTCTAGGAATCTAGGTATCGGAGCAATGGCGATCGGAGAATTACAATTACCTCGTACGAGGCAATGTCGATTTTAGCGTTTTGTATATTTGCAATCATACGCAATATGTATATAATCCAAAACTTAATGTACTGTATATATGTAATATAATTTTTTTTCATCCAAAAGGTAACAAAAACCGCTTCGATTGAGTTTTCCACATTAAACTTTTCCCAGTAATTAAAACTTTGTATTTGTCTCTTAAAACTTGGGAAACTTAAATCGTTAACTTAAATAAAAATGTATCCTAGATAAATACATTTGTGGAAGCATTTCATACATATTCATATCGCAGGATTCTTTCCATTAAAAAGTTTTATGCATCCTACTGTTAGAGACATTTAAAATTTAATAAAAACTTTTAAAATTTGCCGCCTAATGAACTTTGCGGCATTTGAAAAGGTGCCAGTTTAAAGTTAAAAATAAATGTAATTTTATTAAAGTATAAAACTGTAAAGGGTGTTTTCTATGAAGGTTACTCCATACTTAAGGATATGTTAGAGTATTTTAAAGTTTACGGCTATGCGGTCCATAATAAAATTCGGTTAGAAATCTGACCAAAAGTATTAAATTTTGATCGATATTTTTTTGCTAAAAAAGTACAAATGCCAAGGGAATAGATAGCCATTGAGCTTTGAAAATACGAAATCAGCCTCCTAAAATTTTGACTCATACACTTGATAAATATGTGCTAGAATAATGCGAAATACCTGAAGAGTGGAGCATAGTTGTATTAGCTGTTTAAGAAAGAAGACAGAGGAAATTGCCAAATAAAAAACAGCTGGGAAATCCATCTAGACATAATGGATGACGATCGATTTCCGAAACTCATCTATAACTACAAATTGAAAGGGAAAATAATTGTTGGATAACCTTTCCCAATTATTATTGACATTTAAAATAATTCTAGGATATTTCTTCAAAAAACTTTTCATCTACAACAAAACACGACCGGGCAAAAAACTTCAAGAAGAGGACTTTACTGTGAACCAGTGAGAACATGTCATAAGAGATATTAGTTAAGTTATGGCCATTAAATATACAGGGTGTTTCAAAAAGTTATGTCATAAATTAAATCACGCATTCCGGGGACAAAAATAAATTGATTAAATTCAACTTACCTTAGTACAAAAGTATACACAAAAAAAAGTTACAGCCCTTTGAAGCTACAATTTTTTTTTAACGTCCAATGTTTATTGCAATTTATGTACAATTACATAGTGGGAAGCCTCCCAGTGGCAAGCACCCAGCTAAGACATAATATAAATATAATATATCATATAACAATTAATTTAAACTTCAACTTTACAAACAAAGTTTAATACAGATAAACATCACTGAACACATATAAGTATTACAAAACTAAAAAATGGAAAAAAAGAAAAAATAATCAAGAAAAGATTTAGAAAACACCAGAATAAAAACTTGTTATTTCACCGCACTATGACACTATGCTCTGTTTCTGCATGTTTACTAGAGGTCCAAAGGGTCTGGTCGTTTTAATCTTCTTTCGTGTGAAATGTTGAGCAAATCCGTGGCCAGCGGATTTGGATGGCAGGATAGTCTGGTCTTGTATACAGCGTTTGCGGCAGATATTGCTTTGCTAACTGTTGGTAACTGTAAATCGTGGTGTATCTGTGGTTCGTAATGTACCAAGGGGAATTGCAGATCTGGCGCAGTACTTTCGATTGGAATCGTTAAAGTTTTTGTATGTTTGTATTACTTGCTGTACCCCAGATTTGTGCTGCATATTGCCATACCGGTTTTAAAATACATTTATATATTAGAAGTTTGTTCTCCAGGTTAGATTAGATTTTTGACTCATGTACCAATACATTTTCCTGTAGATTAAGCTGAGTTGAAGGCGTTTCTTCCAGATGTGAATACCCCAATTAATTTTGCTAGCCAACTGAATTCCTAAGTATTTAACGACGGTATTCTATTTAGCTACAAAATAAAAATTGTTTTTTTTTGCATTATCCCCTAAACTACTTGATATTGTGTAATAAAAATGGTAAGGTTACTTTCTTGTTCTGAAAGTTTTCATACAAAAGAAACAACAAAATCTAAGCGCACAGAAAAATTTTAAGAGTGGTCTGCAACCCTAAATCCCCCCAAACTTTTAAGTATGTCCTAATCAAATGAATTTTGTGGCATCATTAGTTTAACACATTATTTATAAAATTGTTTTGCCTCTTATCACTTTATATTGTTCTGAAGCTATTTTCTTGTGGCATTGTAAATTAATTACTATTTAACTAGAAATAAGCCACAATTAAAGATAAAAATACGTTTATTGACGTTTCAATTTCCACTTCGGAAATCATTCTCAAAATACAAACGATTTCCGAAGTGGAAATTGAAACGTCAATAAACGTATTTTTATCTTTAATTGTGGCTTACTCCCAGTTAAATAGTAATTAATCTTATCACTTTGGCAAAGAACTAGTTTTTTCCTAGTTGGCCATAAAATTACACTTAGTTTCTACGGATACAATAATAACAAACCATTAATAATAGTCAATCATTTGAAGCTATCATTTATTGTCTGAATAAAATTAATATTAAAAATTTTTTTATTACAATGGCCTAAACATTTCAGGAAACGGCAGATATGCATTTAACTTTGGGTAAGTTGGATCAGATTAAATTATGATTTCAATAAACTATCGGGAATATCGTAGGCGAATGTCAAGTAGGAAATAGTGCAGCAGCTGCAAGGCAATGTGCAGTAAAATACTCCAATCGAAATACATCCGATAGACGATTATTTCTGACCATTGACCATCTGACTGATCTGACCATAATGGCAAAAGAGAACAACGTCTTTTCAAATAAAATACATATTAAGAGGGGTCAGGCAGGTCTGTGCCCTGTCTCCTACTTTGTTCAATTTGTATTCAGAGAAAATAATCCAGGAAGCACTAGAAGAACTAACTCTGGAAATAAAAGTAAATGGCCTACGAAATATACGGTTTGCCGACGACAGTATTTTGTTAGCAGAATGTCTTAAGGATTTACAAAAAATGGTTGAGAGAGCGGTAGAAGTTAGTGAAGAAAACGAACTGTCCCCAAACAGAAAAAAGGCACAATTTATGGTAATTACAAAAGTCCAACAGCGCCAAGAAAATATAACAATGCATGGAGAACAAATTATAAAAGTTGAAAAATATAAATATCTGGGTACAATAATTATCGAAAATAATGAGTACACAGAAGAGATTAAGGCAAGTATAGGACAGACAATAAATTTTTTCAACAAACTGAAAAAAGTACTCTACAGCAGGAACATTTCAATTTCTTTAAAGATAAGACTTCTGAGATGCTACGTGTTCTTCGTAATGTTTTATGGGTTGAAGGCTTGGACATTAAAGAAAGATGTTTCGGAAAAATTAGAAGCCTTTAAGTTATGGGCATACAGAAGGATATTAAGAATAAGTTGGGTGGAAAGAGTCACGAATGTCGAGGTGTTGAGAAGAATTAGAAAAGATAAAGAGGTTTTAAATACAATTAATGTCAGAAAACTGCAATATCTGGGACATGTCATGGGGGGCGAGCATTATAACTTGTTGCAATTAATAATAAAAGAATGAATATAGGGTAAGAGTCACGGAAGAAGACGCATCCTCTGATTAAACTATTTGAGAACTTGGTATTACTGCACTTCTGCTGACCTCTTTAGAGCAGCGGTATCGAAAGCGCTAATTACCATGATGGTTGTCAACCTTCTAAGAGGAAATGGCGCATAAAGAAGAGGAATAATGGATGCATTTGACGAAGAGATTTTAGAAATCATTGAAAAAGTCCCTGGAAAAAGTACAAGGGTAATAGCTGCTCAACTAAATGTTCCTCACTTAAGGGTTTGGAGACATTTGAAGGATGAGCTGCTTAAACCCTATCACTTGACAACGGTTCAAGAGTTATTGGTGGAAGATTATCCTAAAAGGATTGGATTTTGCGATTGGTTGATAATGTATTGAAATTGCCAGGTCTACCTTTATAAAAATGAAAAAATTATTTTATAATCGTGATATTAGTATTCATCTACGAACTAGAATGTTAAAATGAAAGAAATATTGAAAATCTTGAAAACTTTGAGATGTGGTGCTACCACCACAAATGGAGTGTTTGTGGTGGTAGCACCACATAGAATTACAAATGAAGAGGTAATACGCAGAATAAAGAACGATCTAAAAGTTATTATGAATATAAAAAAGAGAAAACTTAACTACTTAGGCCACCTGATGAGAGGACAAAAGTACACGTTCCTACAAAATAAAATGCAAGGAAAGATCCAAGGACGCAGAAATCCAGGCCGTAAAAGAATGTCCTGGATAAGAAATTTAAGAGAGTAATCTGGCTGTGCCATTAACGAATTATTTAAAACAGCAGTTAATAAAATTAGAATCGCCATAATAATATCCAATCTCCGATAGGAGAGGCACTGAAAGAAGAAGAAGATAATGGAAATATTAATTTTATTGGGAATATTTTATTTACCGACGAGACTACCTTCGGTATAAATGGAATAACAAACTATCATAATGGGCACATTTGGGCCGACGAAAATCCTCATGCCAAAAAAACGACTCATTACCAAAGGACTTTCAAAGTTCATATTTGGGCAGGACTTGTAGATAACAATCTAATAGGCCCAGTATTTCTTCCCAACAATTTAAATGGGGATAATTATTTTCAGTTCTTGGCAATCGATTAACAAGAGTATTTGAAAGAAGTGAATACTGCAATAAGGCAAAATATGTGGTTTCTACAAGACGTCGCTCCACCGCATTACAGTAATGAAGTCTTTGCAGGCCGTATCGCGGTCGGTGGATTTGAAGGGTTCGTGACTGGTTCGTGGTTCATCTATTTCTTGGTCACCCAGAAGTCCAGGTCTTAATCCCATTGACTTTTTCTTTTGGGGGTTAATGAAAGAGAAAGTGTATTCTGTAACAGCAAAGGACGAACAACAATTGAGGGTTAGAATAATTGAAACTGCAAATCAATTTCGTCAGAAAAATATGATTTTTCAGCGTATTAGTTTTTTTTATTAACAAGATACGGAATGTGTATTGAAGAAAATGGGATAATTTTAAACATTTATTGTAATATCATATTTATAGAGGTTATAGACATTTTTTGTACTTGTTAATTCATTTAAGCCACTTATTCAGCTGCATGTAATTTTTTAAAGGTTAATGAAAAGGGCCGTAACTCAATAAAAACTGTTTTTTGAAAAAATTGACAAGGTAAAAATTTTTTAACAATAATGTGTTAAACTAATGATGGCACAAAATTCATTTGATTTGTACGTACTCATAAGTTTGGGGGGATTTAGGGCTGCACACCCCCCTTAAAATTTTTCTGTGCCCTTAGATATTGTTGTTTCTTTTGCATAAAAAATGCTTTCAGAACAACAAAGTAACGTGTTTATTTTTATTACAAAATGTCAAGTAGTTTAGGGGAAAATGCAAAAAAACAATTTTTATTAACTTCAAAAGGCTTTAACTTTTTTGTGTACACTTTTGTGCTAAGGTAAGTTGGATTCAATCAATTTATTTTTGTCCCCGAAATGCGTGATTTAATTTATGACCTACCTTTTTGAAACACCCCGTATTTTTCGGGAATAAGTGTATAGATATCACTAAGTGAAGATCATACAAATAAAGGAATTACACAACACCGTAGTTTTATTGGTGTATTTACACAGTGGATTCCAATAATAAGTTGCAGTGTAAGTCAGAAACAAAATATTGTTTAAACAACAATGTTTTGTTCAATCGACTACAAATAATTTAAAACAGTCAGATAATTATCGAATAATGAAGCGTTCGTTGAAAATCATTAACGTTGATGTTGAATCAAAATTAATAAAACAATAATTATTATCCTATAAGTTGCTTGAATGTTCTGTGTACATTATCTGCATTTTTATTAGATATTTTCTTTGCCAATAAATTGGCTATCGTATCGTTGAAGACAAGCTTTTATCGACTTTAAGCATAATCTATCGCTTCTTTCATTCCTTCCATTAGCTTTTTATACGTCTGTAAATTGTGTCACTTTATCAAGGGACACCCAATACATAAATTTCGTTGTTTCGGCTGTAGTTCTACCTTTTCGCATTCCCGCGGGAGCATTATTTATTCGTCTGGAACCGAATGTCGCGACCAGAACTTTTTGCTTATTGAAATTCACCGAAAGGTAGGCAGAAAAATTCATCATGCAATATTTGGCATGCGATATTTGGGGTCGCACTTTCGGTATTTGCATCGACGATAAATATACGCCTGTCCGTGGAATTCTTTGACCTACATTTCCGCGGGAACTATGCGAAGAGCGGATAGTTCAGGAGTTTCTGCGATACTTCCTTTGTTGTTTGCGTGGATTCTACCTTTGCTGCAACGTGAATATTAAGTCTTGTCAACAAAAGGAGTTTGTGGAGTTTTGAGACACGAAAAATTTGAAGGTCAAAAATAGAATTGTAATTATTAAATCAGTCGTTGGATGATGTGTTATTTTCCTATGAAACACTGGTTCTAATGTGTGAATATCGGAAAGTTTAGTATACTGGGCATTATACATTAAAATAACAAATTGTTTTAGAATAAAATTAAAGCATTAAGAGGAAAGAAAGGGGACTAAGTGTCATAAATTCACTCTCAAGACTGTATGGAAAAGTAATAAAAAATGAAATTGAAAAAGAGATAACAGATGTAGAAGAACAGAATGGCTTCCGTGCAGGCAGATCCTGCATATTCTCTCTAAAGCAAGTTATCGAGAAAAGATTAGCCCACAACCTTTCAACTCATATAGTCTTTATAGATCTGACAAAGGCATGCGATAGTGTACCACTTTCAATGCTTTGGGTAGCAATGGAAAAACAAGGAATAAGCAAAAAAAATATACATGCAGTACAACAGCTCTACAAAAATATAACAGCAAACATTAAAACTGGAAATAGATTAACGAAAGAAATTCCTATTAGTAACGGCCTAAAGCAAGGCTGCTGCATAGCACATACACTCTTCAAAATATATCTAAATGAAGCACTCTCACTGTGGATAAGAAAGTTCTGTAATATGGGCATACCAATCGGAGATGATAGATTGTACACGATACACTTCGCTGACGACCCAGCCATTCTAGCTGAAGACGAGAGTAATGTAGGATACCTGCTTAGAAAACTGGAAGATGAGTACACCAAATGGGGCCTTTAATATACAAAAAACTGAGTACTTAGTTGTAGGAGAGAAAGCCTACAAATCGAAATGGGACCTATAAAACCAACAGACAATTTTAAATACTTGGGAGTTCAAATAATATCAAAAGCAGAAAGTAGCAAAGAAATACATTCCAGGATTGGCCAAGCAAGGTCAGCCACCAGACAGCTACACGGACTATTATGGAACAAAAAAATAACAAAAGAACATAGAAGAAGAATTTATAAAACAATAATAGAAAGTATTGGACTGTACGGTGCCGAACTCTGGGAAATAAACCAAAGAAACAAATCAAAAATTAAGGCCATGGAAATGAACTACTGGAGACCATGTTGCCAGCTCACTACACTTGATAGGGTGAGAAACGAAGATATTTGAAGAGAAATGGAAATCGATGTAGACATAATAGACACAATCGAAGCCAAAAGACTTAACTGGTAACACCTTCAGAGAATGCCGGAAAATAGATGGCCAAAAAAAAAAATAGAAGAATGGACTCCGCGAACTAGAAAAAAACGAGGTAGACCAAGACGATCCTGGAGAGACGATGTCGACGATGCAATTACCGAATATATTATATAATAATTTATTGTGTTGGAATATCGGGTATGCGGTCTGTTGTTATTTAAAAAAACTCTTTTTTCTTTTAATCCTCTATATTTCGCTGATTTTTTGTCAGCTTCATCAGGTGACAAGGATTTAGAGTGGAAAGTATTTAAACAAATTGTTGAACACAATTTGTTCAAAACAGTACTGATTTCACAGTACAGAATTCACTAGGGGGGGGGGGGTGTAAGACTTACATTTTAGATTTTCATACACTAAATAAATATCTTATAAATACATGTTTCCCTAAATTACACTGCTGTATATAAATTAATCACAAAACAAATTCAAATATAGTTCAATAAATGTCTCGTTTCCACAATTTGCCTCTGTATTTTTCTAAAAGGATTTACTTTAATTAGTTCCCTATCCAACACACTCCTTCCCGGGTACTACTTATAAAATTAAGCTGTCTGCAAACGCCTAACAATGTTTATTGTTCCTATTGGAGGGCCAAAATTCTCCTTGGCTATGCTTCGTTCCAAGAATAGTAAATTATTTTACTTAATAATACTGCAACTACAACTTTCAACACTTTTTTTGCACTACCTTTTGACCCAATAATTTTTCTTTCACCGGTTTAAAAAAACAAACTATCGACACACTCCTTTCGATTTTGTCTTTAATCGCTTCAAGTCCTACAGCAGAGATCCCTCTTGCTTTTTAATCTCATTCCCGTCTGTCTATTCCTTAAGGATATATATATATATATATATATATATATATATATATATATATATATATATATATATATATATATATATATATATATATATATATATATATATATATATATATATATATTATACAAGGTGGTCCAGAATTATGTACATTAATTTCTAGAGCTTATAGTACGTCCAAAAATAAGCAAGGTACAACTGAATAATAAGGGAGATTCAACCCTTTAAAGGGGTGAATTGAAATTCTCATTTTTTCAAATATCTTCCAAACTGTTTTGAATACGGAGTTCATATTGTGGGAGTGATTATAAGACATTAGGATAATTAATTTCATGTTACCACCTACCACATCCTATATTAAGACAGGGTAATTGGGGGTTATTGCGTCACATGATTCTTAATTTTTACATATTTTAAAAAAATATTTTAAAAATTGTTTCCTTAGACTTTTCTACGCAAAAAGGTGCTCTTGTAATATTTCAATAGATATCACCGTTTTCGATTTATTTAAACTCGAAGGTATTCATGTATTTTATTGTAATCGTTACATTTCTTACTATTCATCAAGGATGCTTTGGAATTGACATTTGTGTTAACAACACTTTAATCTTAAGTAGTCTATAAATTGTCAGTGACGTTTAATAAGAATTAAATTATTTTATCTACCCTTTAGAGGCACACTAATATGGCACACTATTCAAATTCTGAGATGACAGACATACTTTTAGTATTAGGGGAGTGTTTGGGAAATGTTGCTGCCGCTGTAAGACGCTACAGGGAAAACTATCCGAACAGAAATATTCCCAATGCCAGGACTTTTGCAAGTACTGAACTACGACTGAGAGAAACCGGTTGTCTTCAAAGAAGGAATACAGATGTTGGTCGTCGTAGAGAAGCAAGAAAGGTTCGCGTTCAACAGCAAATATTGGATGCTGTAATAAATGACCCCACAGTAAGTACACGCAGGTGAGGATTAAGAACGAATATTTCCCATCAAAGTGTTTTAAGAGTTCTGCATGAAGAGCAATTACATCCTTACCACTGTCGA